AAACCCGTGCTGGACCTGCCCTCAGAGCAGCAGGCAGAGGCCCTTCACGGCCAGGGCAGGGGGGGAGGAGACTGAGGTCCACAGGAAGCAGCCAGACCTGGGCCACTCGTGGGGCCTTTAAACAGCAGAAGCAGAGAGATGCCCTCAGGTGCTGCCCAGGCTGAGGGTGGCCCTTAGCTGGACAGCCGCGGTGGGCACAGGCTCTTGTAGGAATCCTGACCATCCTCGCGACCTGCCCGTGTGTCAGGACCCAGGGAGAATCAGCAGACCCAGGCAGGGGACAGAAGGGCTCCAGGTCAGCGTGGCGCAGACCCTGCCCGCAAGGCCCTGGTGGGCCTCTCAATTCCAGGAGGGTCCCGTGACCAAGGGGGCTTGGGAAACACTGTTAGGGGACTCCTTTGAAGACGCAGAGTGCAGAGTAGGTGGCAAAGACTCTTGGAATTCCTGCAGGACAAACAATCAGCTCTAACTTTATTTTATCCAACTTATTTGACCAAGCAAGTGAATGACAAAGCGGACAGGGCTCTCTCCCCTGTCCCAGCCCACCTCCTGTGATCAGTGGAGCCAGAGCGGTCCCGAGTCACCATGCACCTGGTGCTAGAAACATCATAGGTGCAGAAGCAGCCTCCCGGGCCCAGAATATTGTGACCTCACCATGTTATCCCCTCACAGCCCCCTGGGAAACTTGAACATGTCTTCCCCTCACTGACCTCGGGAAGGAGGTGAAAACTAAAGTTGGCCTGGAGATTGCTTAGCAATCAGCTGAGGCCTAGCCAGGTTCCCAGGAGCATAAGACAGTCGCCACCTTTGTGGTCCTTTCAACCCAGACTGCAGTGGTGAGGACAAGGACAGAGACTCTCTCCTGCATTGGGTCACTAGAACCCTGAGCCTCACCAGTTAATGGCTAGAGACTGATACTGGCTCAGTATCAAAGTACTAACCTGACTGGCCGACAGAGGTCCACTTGGACCTTAGGGTCATCCCCATCTTGCCCTCTTTCCTCCCTCATGATCAGGTCAGTGTTGAAAGCAAGAGAGCCTGAGCTACATGAGAGATCCTCTCCTCCTGCTCAGGATCCCTGGTCTTGGACTCAGTAATAAGTAGCAGCTCCAGCATCAGAAACATCAGAGAGCTCCTATTGTCAGTGACCACTCAGAGCCATGGTTTGGCAGCTGAGGCCTGGTTGGCCCTGACTAGGATCAGCAGGAAAAAAAAAAACAAACCCAGCCGTGGCATGAGGTGAGGGGACAGCTGGTGAGGGTCTGGTTCTCTTTCCAGTACCCAGAGGACCCCACCCCCTTATTCTGTGCCTGTGTCCTGTTGAGTTCAGTGTCTCTGGACAATCCCTGGTGGCACGGGGACCTCACTGTGCCGCATCTCCTTCCTCCTCTCTCAGCCTGTGCCCGGTGACAGGACTGTAAGCAGGACACTATGGCCAGGAGCAGCAGGGGCATCCGGGGCAGCGCAGATTGGGAGATGGCCAGCCCAGTCGCCTGGAGCGGACTGCAGCTGCCTTGGGAGCATCACCTTTGTGGCATTCCGCTAGACCCCCCAGGCAGGAGGCGGCGAGGCCTTGGGGCCAACACTTGCCCCCCCCCACTTTGGAGAGGTCGTGTGAAGGTGGGGAACAGACCAGTTCATGATTCAACAGAACTTTGCTTTTCCTCCATTTCCTCTCCTCTGCTGCCTGACCTCCTTCTCTCCCTCTGCCTAACAACCTCTCGGGGACACGGGCCAGGCAGGACAAAGGGAACAAGACAGTGGTGTCCAAGGCGGGTGCCTTTGAAAGCTGTGGTTCTGCCGTGCTGGGCACGTGCTGTACCGCTGAGCCACAGCCCAGCCCGGCACACCTAGCCGGAGAGCGTGTGAACATCAGTCCACATAAGGTCTGCTCGTTGGCCCTGATCAGTCAGTGGTCGGGGATCCTGGAAGTTCCAGCGCCCACGATTCCACGCAGAGGTAACCACTGGACATGGACATGGGCACATCCTAAAATCCTGTTGTCACCTTTTAGTTTGCAGTTCTCTTTCTAGGGGGTCTCTGACAACTGCTTCAGTAACCCACGGCTTCCCCACTTGGCCCTGAGAAGTTAGGGTCACTCATGCAGGTCTCATGTTGAGAGAAGCAGAGCCCCAGCCTCATGGGCCTCAAGGCCAGGGACCCTCACTTCTCTCCTGATGGTGGCAGTTGAGTTTGCGCCCGTAGAAGGACCAGGGGCTCTGCCCCTAGGTGTTCATCACGATTCCAGCACAGTTCCAGGTCTTGCAGTCTGGTTCTTCTACTTTACAAGGTATATTTCTTGCCCCCATTTTTCATGGGTAGATCCTTCAAAGAAATAATGCTGAGCTACTTTCTGAATCAGTGAGAGAAGAACTGTAGGTCCCAGGATGTGGGACCAGAGTCCATGTGCTGTAGGAGCTTAAGAACATGGGACACCCCGTGGCCATCATCAGTCCTTGACAACCCCCCAACGCTCTGTGATACCACAGCTCCACACGCACAGCCAGCTGGTCCCAGGCTGCAGGGAGTTTCTCAGTGTGGCTGTGGCTTGTGCAGAATGGTTACAAAGGCAAATGAAGCCTCCTTTCAGACCAAAGGAGTCAGAATTTCTAGTCAGGGGCCCAGAACCGGCCTCGGCCAGTCTCCCTGGTGGTGTTTCGATGCCTACTGAAGTAAGATCAGCCGCCCTGAGCTCAGCTGGACGGGAGGCCAGGCACGAGAGGCGTTTGGTCTGGATGTGTTTCAGTCACCAGTAGCTTGGGACCTGGTCCCTTGAGGAGCCAAATTCGTGGCTCCATAAACAGTGACCACATGGCCTAAATTTTCCTGCTTTCCTATATTCTGTCCCTTGTTCCTAGAAACATCTCAGCATTTAAATGTCCTCCCTGATACTCCAACTCCAGTAACACAGTCCTTTTAAACTCCTCATCATCCTGATTTTTACAGCCATCACAGATATGTCTAGATCCATGACAAACAACTTTTATAATCAACAAATCTGAATAGTTTTCCATGGGTCTATACATGCATCTAGAGGCCAGGGATGGAGAGGCCTATGGATGGAGACCTGGAGCCCCCAAATGGACGGTTTTCTCCCATATACTAGCACATGTTCCTTCCCAAAATTTAACCTTTAATAACTGTGGCATTTAGAAACTGGAAAGGACAGAAAGAAAAGGGGAGTCACTGTATATAGATTCCGAAAGGTTACATTTGTTGTTTTTTGCTTTGTTTTACACTTTGACCCAAAGAAAGGCCAGCATTTTCCCTCCTAGCTGACTTGTTGAAGCTGAAATACAACAAAGATCCATTCAATTTGTGCACAATGGTAGGGATTTAAAAACACAGCTTCAGAGGATACCCGCCAGCCAGGGAAAATTTCCTGCAGATCTTCCTGCATCAGCATGATAAAATGGCACTGTGCTTACAGGTTCAAGCACCTTTCCAGGGACACCAGAGTGCATGTACCCTCTTTCCCACCAACTCCCTGGTTCTATCATTACTATATTCCCTCCTAATATTCACGCCCTGTGCATAGATAGGGCAGTTAGCGCTACCTTCCCCAAATTCCAGGTGTGATGGGTGTTCTCCGTGTGATAACAGACACGGCAGCATGAAACAGAACATCAGGTGATCTCACTGCAGTTCCTGCAGTGAGGTACCTTGTGCATGAGGCAGAGTATACGCATAGCTCGTAGTAGGTGCTCAGGGCATGTTTTAAGTGGGCCCTCCTAGCAAACTGTGATGTTAATAAAATATAAAAGATTAAACTCAAAGAAAAAGGCTGTCTTTCAAAGTGTATCATTGTAAGGAAGTCACTTGCCTAGAACCAAACCAAAGATTAGTAAAATGTGGTAAAATAAACTGGAAAAATCAGAGACAGTTTTCCAACCTCAGAAAGATCTCCTCTAAACTGAATCTGAAAAGGAAGGGGAGCCACCTGAATGAGCCTGAGACAGCCATCCTGGTGAGCATGGGCCTGAGGCCAGGGGACCCATGGCTGCCACTGCTGGAGCTGGAGAAGGACTAGGGAGCCACAGCTGGGTGCCTCCAGGCCGGTGCAGCCAAGGCCATGGCCTAGCAAGGGAAGCAGCCTTCTTGCAAGCCATATCGATCACACCTCCCCAGAACACAGCTTCCCCACAGCCTCAGCCCAGCAAGCAGGCCAATCTTTCCTACTTTACTCAGCTCCATTAAACAGCTGGGTGGCTCACTCTGTTCTGTGCATCTGGAATTTTACTAAGGACGCAGGTTGGTCAGGGGCTGGGCTAGCAAAGCCAGCCTTGTGGATACAAGGAGTCGCTTAATTCATCCACGGGGACTAGCTCAGTGCCCAAGTCCTTTCATGTGTATAGCATGCGTTTATCCTGGAGGGCGAGCTGGCTGGTTACTAAACACACTGACAAGGGTCAAAAGCTGTCCAGGCCCCTAAGTGGCCACTGATTAAATTAACGGTTTCAGCCTAATTAATATTTAGACTCTAATAGGAGGTGGCACTTTGGGCTTGGCTGAACACAAATGGACGGCGGGGCAACAAGCAGGCCAAGTCGCTCCATTGATCAAGCTTGGTGAAAACAGGACATAAAAGCTCCCTTGTGTTTCCACAAACAAAACAAGCAGCGCACAGAGATGAGATGTGGACACTTAGACCTTGTGCTCAGCTCTCAATG